ACATATTTTCCTAGTGTATAAAAATAATGAAGAGGCACTGCCATTTTTACTGTATTATGCGACTGGACCAGGGCATGATGGGGAACCCCTCTGTTCTCATACTTGGGATCACTGCATCCCAACCCAAGATGCTTTTGGTCTCGCAGACGGCTCTTCTCCACTTGCTGCAACTATATATTGTATTCCTATGTTCACAACAGCCTGTCCTCATTGTATTTGGACACATGATAATAAACTTCAATGTCAGTCTGCTTAAATAAATGAAAAAGAGCTTCTCATTCCCATGGATCGTTTGGTACTTATTCTAGAATAGTTGCAACTTGGACACCCTCAGTGATGTTTATTCTCTGGGAAAAGTGGTTATGGGGGTGGTTGGCATTTTGTGTTTCCACAACAAAGAAAGACCAATTACAAGCACACATAAGTACGTCTACTTTCATTGATGAAATTCTTCATAAACAGCAAAATATATATATATATATATATTTTCACTTTTGCTCTGCAGTAGATCTCCATCCTTTCATTAGCAAACGCCTCTTTGGTCATTAAAAAACAAACAAACTGCTTTCCTTATACTTTGCAAACCCCTTTTATTTTAGTACTTAAAGCTTCATATCACTGGAAGCCAAGAGAGCCTCAGGGCTGCTCCCAAGCAACATGGAGGAGGCCCCTTTCTTGGAGAAGAAATAAACAGAGCTCCAAAGAGGTTTTTCCTGCTACCAAGCACTTTTATTTTTATCAAACATTTGCTGACTTATATTTTTAAGATCTTTTCATGTTTTGTTTAATCTTACTATTTCCATGCAGTTTCAAAAGAGCCTGCAAGTACTTGAGTGAATTCTTTTAAAAGATTTTTATACACTAGGGAGCAAATATGAAATTAACAAAGCAGCATATCACAGCAACTTCAATCCTCTTTTCTTATCAGAAAAGTAAATAACCCAAATCTGCTTCTCTTTTGTGAGTCTACAAACTGTAAATAATTTAGCTTATGCAACTCGGCATGCTGGGGGGGGGATGGCAAGGGGAGGGGGAAAGCTGCTGTCTTAGGCTTGTTTCTTTTAAAAAATTTCAATGCATGTATTTAATAAGTGAATTAAAATACCAATATGTTATTGCTTTGCTTCAAGCTATTCATTTGGGGGAAACACTGCATTGTTTTCACTACATGAAAAAGAGTATAATAAAAGATTGCTAAAAATAAGGATTGCAATAAAAGAGTTGCAGGGGGAAAGGAAATTAAACTCTATCTAAACCAATGAAAATCCAAACTGGCTCATCAAACACTATACATTAAGGCAGCTTAGCAGTTATAAAATCTGCATTTACAAGATGATGCAATTAGGAAATGGCAACTGGAAGTTTCCAAATCCTTCAGTCACTTGCAGAAAAATCTATCATGAAACTGCAGAGGATGAAAAATATTTGTGGCATATTTACTTCCGTTCTTTTCTTCAGATGTTCAGTAGTACAAAGGTTTAAAATGTGACTAGCAATAGAGAAGAACTGCCCCCAACCCAAAAAAATTGATTGTGCACATTCATAAATGGCATTGAAGTCTTTGTTTTTTAACCTATCAAATATGACTACCGATCTGACCAGTTGTGACTTTCAGCACCACCACTGGTTCTACCCAAATAGCTGTTTGAGCCCGACCTTTTGTGCCATATCCTCAAAACTAGGATCACAGTAAAATCCTGATACTGATGACAAGTTAATTTGTCATGTCTGCCCATGCTCATTAAGCCTAGATCGCTGCAACCTTTGTGTGAGGCCAGATATTGATTGCTGTGACCTGTCACTTTGCCACACCTAGCTCAATGCAGTTGTCCCTTTCGACTCCATCCCAGAACGGTTGCAGGATGTACTCACAGGTGCATGTGAAACCAACCAATCATGACATTGCAACATGCACCATGGTGGCAGAAGACATAACAAGGTCTGAAGTTGCCCTTCTTTAATGCACATGTGCAGGGATCTTCGGAAAATGACCAGTGTTAAGTCAAGATTATACAGTGGATTTCAGTAAATAGCAAAACAATTAAGTTTTCCATAGAGTACGTTCATCAATCCCTAGGTACAACTAGTGGGGTATGTTTATTTGTTTGTTATAACAGACACACACACACACAAATTATTTATCAAACTGCTTTTCAAACTCCCCACTGCTTAAACATTAGATTTTCATGTGAGAGGGCTTAATGTTCAACAAACTCAAGTCCAACCCCTGCCCCAGACTCTGGGCATGTGTGAACCCCTCACTCCAGAGCTTGGGTTTATAGGATTCTTTGGATTTTACTCAAAGAATACTAGCATGTCACTGTTCAAGAAAGGATCTGTTCAAAGGCATAGCCACAAAACCTGACCCTCATGAAGAATGGGGTATGCCCTGTGATCATGCTTGCCATGTTTGTCTAAGGCACTCCAGATGTTGTTGGTCTCCAAATCCCATCAGTGTCAGGAATCATGGCTAATAATCAGATGGTGGGAGTTGTAGTCAAGTAGGCCGCACACTGGCTACTTCAGTCTAGGAAAATGACCAACAGTAATGAGAGGAAGAAGAGCACAAACTGCTTGGGCCAGTTCCTGATATGTGGGGTGTTTGCAATTCTCAAAACCTTTACCACAAGGTCAACAATATTGCCCTTTGGGCAGTCTTTCAGAGATCATGTCAAAAATAGAGGGAGAGAGCAGTCAGTGACCCCCGTAACCAATCCAGGAAGCACTCAAGCTCAATTGGTTGATTTGCCCCCAATGAGTTCATCAGCCAAATCTGATTTGGAACATAATATCACTGTGTTCTTTATGTGATCCCTGATTGGCTGAGATCAACTGCCTCTAACAGAAATCAATCCTGCGAACATTAGAAAGCAGTATCAAGGACAGAAGGGAAATGACAGCAATACTATTTTGTTAAAAATATGGCCGTAATTCTATGTACATTCACTTGGCAGCAAACTTACTTGATGATGCAGTGGCACAGAAATCTGGAAATTAATAAATAAATAACTTTGCTTCCACTTAAATATGCATACATCCTTGTGCAAATTAATTGAAACAAAGCATGTTTTCTGTCTTAATCATAATCCTGTACTCAAAACAAACACAGAAAGTCAGTTTGATCATTTTTTATGTTGGCTGATGCAATCATTACATCAGCAGCTGCTGTATTGCATCAGATTTTAGAATCCTGTCTGGCCGCCGTAGTATATGATGCAATCATTACATCAGCAGATACAGTATTTCAGCTTTTAGAAACCTGACCATATGTGATTCAACCGCCATTCAAGATGGATGTGACACCTAGGAAACATACAAAGATCGGAACTCTGCACGAACACACAGCTAAGAAGTATCAAGAGATTGCTTCAGCGGTTGGTGTGAGTTTAGCAACTGTCAGCCGTGTCATCAAGTTGAAGCAGGAAACCGGATCGGTTTCTCCTAAATGTAAAGGAAAGTGTAGTCGTAAAAAGAAAACAACTCCTAGAGGTGATGCTTACTTGCTTTGACAAAGCAAAAAGGATCACCGCAAGACGAGTGACTCATTGAATATGGATTTGAAGGAGAAAGGAATCCAAATCAGTTCCTCTACAGTTCGCATTTTTGTACAATAAACTACTAAATTTATTGTTTGTTTCAATTAATTTGCACAAGGGGGTAGACTGGGGATGTAAAGTTTTGGGGGTTTTTAAGTGTGAAACAAAACATTTTATGAGCTGCTTGTTTATTTCAGTTGCATCTATATTTTTACCTTTATTTGTTGGGGGGACATTTTTGTCCCAAGGCCTTCGTGTTACTTGCCATTATATTCTGTGGGGAAAGGTGCTTATTGTTATTTTGAATCATTTATTTTTTGCTTCTGAAGGCTGAAGCTTTTACTAACTCCTCGTTTCTAATGTATGGGACTTAAATATGGAAGGATTGCCTCATTGAGTTTCAGACAAGGGGAGAGATTAGAACAAAGCCATATGCTGAAAGGCCAATAGACAAGGTACTAATTTGGCAATAATGCCCACCTCCACCTGCCATGCCACCAGCCCTGCTCTTCATCTGCTTCAAAAGAAGCCAAAGAACAAATGAGGACATTGTGGTGACCTCTAACAGATCACTCTGGAAGAGAGTCCCTTTGTGCTGCAAATAGATAAGCGAGGGAGCTGGGGTGACTTCATTGTGCTTGCAATGAGGCAGATATAGGCTGGACTTCATTTGCTAACTTCTTACTAATTGCAAAGTGAACAATGGTGAATAGCGTTCGCACTTATTTCATTTTCATTCATGCTACGTCCTGGAAGAAGCCTATTAGCAAAATTAGCAATCTGATAATGGCTTCTGAACATGTGGGGTTAAGATGATGCTGATCAAGACCTAATATATTTCTTTTGAATCTTGCCATAACAGTAGAATAATACTGGCTTTTTATCTAATGGAGGACTAATGTGCTGAGGCTTCTAAATAGCGTATAATATGTTGCTTTGTTCAATTATATTAAACTCATCAAAATGCTTCGTGATTGGCCCGTAGAACATCAATTGAAGAAATAATTATTAGCAAACATGTAACCAATATGTAACACTTCACATTTCTGAAAGGGTCTTATAATTAGGCAGCATATTAGTAGTTTCCTTGTAGCTGAAAAGGGTCATTTGCAGTTTTGCACAACCAACTGCTCACATTTGTACCCACAATAGCCCCTTCTCTCTAATTGTGATCCCCAATCCGCTTGTGGGAGTCCAACGTCAAATCTTTCATGAGTTAGAAGCAGAAGAAGAAAGAAACAGAAGAGCGGAGCTATTTGCAAAGAATCATGGGCAAGATACCTAACATCTGCTACAAACCAGAAGACCTAAACCCAAGTCCAGTTTGTTGTTCTGAAAAATTCACTAGATCCTGAAACACCAAGCTTGTGGCCTTGTCCACAAAGTCATAGAATCATAGAATTGTAGAGTTGAAAAGGACCATGAGGGTCATCTAGTTCAACCCCCTGCAATGCAGGATTCTTTTGTCCAATGTGAGGCTCATACGCACAACCCTGAGATCAGGAGTCTCATGCTCTACTGACTGAGCTATTCCTCAGTAGGGTTCCAAAGCAGACAGAGACAATTTGTGTTCCATTTCTCTTAAGGCAGTGGTGGGAAATGAATGACCCTCCAGATGATGCTGTACTACAACTCCCATCATCTCTGACGTTGGAAGCTGCTTTATACTGAGTCAAACCATTGTTACATCCAGCTCATTAGTGTCCACAGTGACTGACAGCAAGCTCTCCAGGGTTATTTCTAGCCTTATCTGAGAATAATGGGAAATGAAGCCGATGCCATTTACATTCATTCATTCATTCATTCATTTATGAATGAATGCATGGAATTTATATACCACCTGTCAGGGAAGAAGAGGAATTGTGGAGACCGCCTCCCGATCCTGGCCCTTCCAGGGAGCAGGAAGAAGAAGACAGTATAGATTTACAATAGGGGTTTGAGGGAGGTCACAGCTCAGAGTCAGATGAGGGGAAAAGCTGGGAAATTATGGGACAGCTGGAACAACACCCAGCTGACTTGTTGTTATTAGAAAACATTCCAGACCCTCCATCTCCCAGAACCCAGGAGGTTTTAAAAGTAGGAGAGCAAAGAGCTCAAAGGCAGAGAGGGCACTTAGCAGAACCCGTAGAGGAGATGATGAGAATGACGAATGAGGAAGTGGGAGAGACAGGTGATGACTCAGGACAACGCTATTATCCAAAAGCCTGGGTTCTATAGCCTCTCTCTGTAAGGACTGACATAAAAAAGCACAGTAAGAAACATTTCCTTGTCTTTATACTTTCCTGGGCAATCAGTCAGGAGCTGCTGACAGCATCCTGACACCACCCTATAACCACAGGTCTCAGGGCGGTTTTACATGCAAATGGAAGCTTTACATATTGGACTAATGGGAATTAAAATTTGGCAACATCTGAAGAGCCACAAGTTCCCCACCCCTGCCTTATGGCAAGAGTGAAATGGCCAACTGGCCCTCCTTCTGGCCTGATGTCATGGCTCTGGGATCAGCCAAGGGGTGCGGAGTAGTCTGAGGTGGAGGGCAGGCAGGAATTACTCTCAGCACCAGTCCCAGGTGAGTTCCTTCGCTCAGAAGCCCCAATGCTTCAATCTTGCCATCTCCCCAGCCTGAGGAGTGTGCATTGCTATGATACTCAGAAATCACAGTAGTGACAACAAGTCCCACCAACACTGTAGAAGCCAGCACTTAAAACAGACAAAGCCCTTTTAAACAGAATTGGCTTCTCCCAACATCTAAGGAGCTAGCAGTCAAGCTGAGCCATGGCCCTTTCAAAGCCTTAGCTTTTGCTAAATCAACATTTGTTCCTGCTTCACTTGGGAGTTATTCAGGATCCACCACTGAACTTCTGATGGAACCCCAGTTTTGTGCTGGAACCACCATAAAGAACAGAACAGTAATTTGCAAAATATAACCAGGTCAAGCTTTTCTCATCACCTTCTCTTCTTTGTGCCTAGAAAAGAATAATCAGCATGTCAAATTGTGATATGATGCACAGGTAAAGAGGGCTCGTCAAAAGTTGGCAGCTCCCATTGACAAGTTTCCATTGTGTGCTTTTAATCACATTTAGGGAAGCTTCCTAAGATGCAGTTTGAGAATCTCCCAGGAAGAGAGGATTTCCCCAGTGGTTCATGCATGCCATTTCAGAATTCTGGAGGGGGGGGGGTCGATAAATAGGCCTACACACAGATTCTAATTTACATCAGGAGAAAGCATCTGTTACAGCTTGTATAACATCTGTGCTAGCTCATTGTAAGCAGAGACATGGGTTCTTCTGAGAAATAGTTGTATGTGGTCTGAAAGTGAGAAGGGGACACTTCCCTTTTCCCTAAATAGTCCCTTCCCTGCTCCAGGGTGCTCTGAAGCAGTAAGATGGCAAAACCCTCAGCCATATTACTCCTGCACTGAATACAATTCCTCAAGAGGTTGTGCATATTGGCACCTTTCCTCCATAGCCAACCTGCTTCTTCAGGTGGAAGTACACAGGGGGTACCCTTAAAAGACAAACGAGAGGTTGGTGGTGACCACCAGCCATTCTCAACCAGCCTAATTTTCTGGTGAAAAGTGGTTGTGTTCATCCTCCTTTTCCCTCCTGGCTGGGATCCTGCACCTTTATAGCTAAATGAGATACAAAATCAAGGAGGTCATTCCTCACTGGAGCATCTGCGTGCCAGGAAAGGCTTGGCTGGCTAAGTGATTGTCTGAAGGTGTCCCATCAACTTTCAAAATACAGGAACCTTGGCAGATGCTGGCAGCTCTAGGAATGAAAAAGGTTTGGGGGAAAGGATTTGCTACTCTCAAGTGTCTACCTCGCCTTGCTTTTTTGCAGCCTCCATGCTAGACAGTGGATAAGTGGAACTGCGTATGTGTAAATGAATCAAGAAGACAGGAGTGCCTGGCATGCTTTGGTCCATGGGGCCAAGAGGAGTCAGACACGACTAAACAGCAACAACAAATAAATCAAAATCCAGCTTGCAGCATTTCTCTTCCATGTTTAGTAAAGCAATTTTCTCTCCCACGCTTGGGGGGAGGGGCTGTCCACACTGGAGCCAGCCTCTAGTTTCAGGAACATTCCAGAATCAATTTCAAACATTGCAGTGTTGTGGAAATCAAGTTAGTACATTATTATTATTATATAGCCTTCCAGTTCCAGCAAGGCTGCTGAGCTCAAAAGCAAGCGTGATTTCTCTTCTCCACTGTGAACTAGCCTTCTGACAACTCTTTGTACTCAAAGAGCAATTTGGGAGTTCAGACTCTGTCACTGACCTGACCTTCCCCTCAATGCACAGCAAGGAGCTTCTTTTAGCAACAAAATGTACCATCTGACACATCGTCAGAGCTTTTAACTCAAAAAATATATAGCCACAGATCATTTTATCTAAAGAACACTCAGGTAGCTTTTCATATTTTTTAATAGATTTAATATCAAATATGTGGCTGGCAGGGGTGTGTGATCTTATTCAACATTAGTTAAAAGGAGCCAGTTCTGCAGTTGGCCAACGTTATCAATTAACCCTTCAAAGAGCATAAGGCAGCATATCCTACCCCAGATAACCACCAGGGGGCGCCAGTTAGTTTATAACGTTTGCCCAGCCACCAAGAGAAATAACATTTTGTCCTGTTAATGATGGCATCTGCAGTGTGACAGCCTGCATTTCGGAAACGAATTTAAAATATCTGATCAGTGGAACTGCTGCTGAGGAGGGCTATATATTTTTATGACACTAAAGCCAGAAACACATCTTCATCAAAGGTAGTATTCTCTCAGGAGGAAGGAATGGGCTGGCTTTGTGGGACCGCATACCAAGGTCATCAGAAAGGTGCCTTGCATATAAGTCTGGCAGCAGTGCTTAAGAGTCCACTTCTGCTGAAAAGGACAAAATCCTTTGTCCCATACCTGATGCACTGTTAGCTGTACATCTGGGGCATTTTCATTAATGATACTGTATTCAGCATTTCCATGACAACACTTGACATTTATGGAACATTGTGGTGTTTCACAAACATCCCACCCTCCAAAAAAACCTATACAACAAGTTCCTTGTGCCCAAAGCAGACTGTGGGCCAAAATTTCCACAATAGCTATTTACCCATTTAAAAAACTGTTTTAGGGAAGCTATCCCAAACAATTTCTGATAAGGCTGAGCTGAATGCTTCCTAATGAGTATTTTTGGCTCTATATTTTTTGAGATGTGGGACTGGGAGTCTGTGTTGGATGGCAAAATGTAGAGTTTGTGACGTCAGTCTGAGTTTGTGCTCCAGATGTTTCAGACTACAATTTCCATCAGCCCCAGTCTCCACAGCTATGATGCCTCCAGACCCAGCATCCTAAAGCCAGGCTGACTTTCACCAATGGGAGCTGCAATCCAAAGGGCAAAGGCTGTCTTAATGGATGAAGAGGACCAAACAATGAAAAGAGAATGCAAACTTTAATGCTTTTATCTGCTGAGGACAACCACTTCTGGACTTGGACAGGTTTGCACATATCTGTATACGGTAATCTAGCAAGCAATTGAGCTACTATTCTCTCCTCGATTTCTAGCATGCCTCCATTTTGAAATGAATGGGAAACAACAAAGAACACCTTCTCACTTGGCTCTTATTAGGCCCAAGGAAAATGAAAAGTGACAAAGGAAAGCAGATGCTGGGAAGCGAAGTTTCAAAGAGGCATTCTGAGGGCGAGGAGACACTTTGGGATGAAATTGCATAAGAAATTGCATTGACTTCAATAATAGCTTAACTATGGGGGAATAACGGGGGAAGCAACAGCTGCTTTTTGATCTCTACACTCAGCTGGAAAAAAATGTTTTCTTTGTCTAACCATGTGTCAGTATGCTCATCAGATTACACCCATCCCTGGAACATCTGTGACAATGTACCTGCCCACGATGCTGGCATAACATTTCATAGCACAATGGCACACGGACGCAGCAGTTGGCTAGCTCACTCTAAGCACATGCATAAAATCACAGCCGTTCTTTAGGCCAGGGCATAAGGATTTTAAAAATCAGTCATCCAATTCCATGCCTCCCTGCCCGAATGTTGATCATGATCTTCCTTCTCACTCGCTCTTAAAAAAACCAACGGAAGTTTCCATCAAACTTTGCACCCCCAAAGCCCCTTGAATTCTCCTGACTTGTTGGCTTGTTGACCCCTGGCCATCTTGCTCTCTTCTCCCATGACTAACTCTAGCCCCCCACAGAGGCATTTCCAGCATAGGGAAGTTAGAGGGCCAAACCAGGTGGCTAGAGCTTGTGCTGTTCTTATCAAGCTGCCTGTTTTGCTTTGTTTTTCAAGGAAAAGAAAAGGAAAAGAATATTTTCTATTCAATTCCCCCTGAGAGCAATGGAGCATCATTGAAAGCCCACAGTGGCAATAACTGCTCCAGGCTGAAAGTGGCTAGATTACCTATTTTTAAAAGTTACAAGAATGCGTACACACACACACACACACACACACACAACAGAGGGAGCTCTGCAGTCCTTGAATCACCTTGTAAAGGAATGCACAAGACTATGGATACTGTTAGTGGATCTATTATTCAATTTGAGTTATGATCTGCTTTTAGAACCCAAAGGTGGATTCCTCTCCCATCCCTTGTCTGCAGTCTTCAATATCAGCTGACAGGCAGTGCCCAGTTGAAGGTAAGGTAAAGGTAAAGGACACCTGGATGGATTAAGTCCAGTCAAAGGTGACTACGGGGTGTGGCGCTGATCTTGCTTCAGGCCGGGGAAGCCGGCGTATGCCCGCAGACAGCTTTCCAGGTCATGTGGCCAGCATGATTAAGCTTCAAGCGCAACAGAACACCATGACGGAAACCAGAGCTTTAGACCAGGGGTGGGAAACCTGTTGCTGTCCATATGTTGTTGGACCACAACTATCATCCTATCGTGATCATTGGTCACTCCAGAAACATCTGGAGGGTCCCAGGTTAGGGAAGGCTGGTTTACTTAATCTGGCATGTTATTTCCAGCAATGACCACCCAGTTGTTCACACAAGCAGGGCAGGAAGGCAACCTATGCAGGGCCACAGGCTAGTCGCTTAGGGCATTGGTCCTAAGCACACCTACTGTGTGACATTAATGATTTTGTATGTTCAGACTAGTTGTAGGGGTGCAAATTGTGCTGTGGAAATACCGGGTGCAGGTATCTCTAGGGGGAAAATATTTTGCATATATCTTAGCCCTTAAATAGGCTAGTATTTTGCATATATCTTAGCCATTAAATGAGGTGACTTGAAACTACAAAAGGACAAGACTGATGAAGCAGCACCTGATTAAAGAAGTGACAATCCTTTCTGCTGTATGAACATACTTTTCCTCAATTAACCTGAATAAATGCAGAGTTTTTTCAGCTGCAGAAAGCCAGTTAGCTCAGTTGGTTAGAGTGCGGTGGTGATAATGCCAAGGTTATTTGTTTGATTCCCATACGGGCCACCTGCATATTCCTGTATTGAAGAGGGTTGGACCAGATGACCCCTGGGGTCCCTTCCAACTCTATAATTCTATGATTCTGTGAAAACAGTAAAGAACTGTGACATACTTCACATGCAAATCTGGGAGAACAGCCCAAGCCCAGAAAATGTCAGCTGGCAGTAATCAAAGGATATTAGCAGAGGCAATGAAATTCCACAGAGAATTGAAGCAGAATGTAAAGAGGAATTTAATTCCAAGTCCACCATTCTAATATAAACAGCTCACTCCATAGGAAGGGTGCTTAGAATTGCAGCCTCCATTCTCTAAAGAAAGGCACAAACTTTCTCTCACACCAAGGACTGGAGAAAACTGGAGACTCTTAGGCACGTAGACATTAGTTGATTGATATACATTTATCCATGCATATGGATGATTCATCTTCCTGTGGAATCTATGTGTCTTTGATGCCGACTGATTTTTACTCCAAATGATTAGAATCACTGTGTTGGAACAGCCAATCAAAGTCCAGCTCCCTTCAAGACCAACCCTCTGCAAGAAAGCCAGTTAGAGTAAAGATCTATCTATCTATCATCTATCTATCGATCGATCGATCTATCTATCGATCTATCTATCATCTATCATCTCAGCATCTTATTCTCACAGTAACCAACAAGATAGTTATGCATAGGGCTCCCAACAATTCTGGGATCTTCCTTTTAAAAAAGCTCAACAACTTTTGGGGTGTCCTAGTTTTTACTTTTTGAAATATGGCAACACTATGTAAGCAAGTGTAAAGTGACGGACCTTGTTGGGTGAGGGACTATCAAAAGCTTTTTGAAACACACTTTAAGTTAACTGGCCTGTAATTTCCTGGGTCCCTTTTTAAAAAATTGGCATTATACTGACCACTTTCCAGTCCTCTGCTATGAAGGCTGATCTCAGGGACAAGCTACATATTTTTGTTAGAAGATGAGCAGTTTCACATCTGAATGCTTTAAAGAACTTTCAGATAGAGGCCATCTGGACCTGGCGAATTCTACATTTTTAATCTGTCAGTGAGCCCCAGAACCTTCTCTTCTGTCACCATGATTGACCTCAGTTCCTCATATCTCCTTCCTGTGAAAACTAGCTCAGGCACAGGGATCTGTCGTCTACTTCCTGCAGTGAAGACAGATGCAATGAGTTCATTCAATTTCCCTGCAACCATCTGCCCCTCCATCAAAGGCCCAAGTGCCTCCCTAGCTTTGTATTAAGGCAGAGTTCCCAAGTGGATCTGAATGCAATAGCAAACATCAGGAACACAAGAGAGAAAACTGACAGAAGGAGAGGGGGACGAGGAAGGAGCATCATTTGAAGCAGACCAGTGAGGGAACTGAGCAATTCCAAGAAGGCTCACTCACACATTCCTATTTGCATTAAATTATTTGTTCATTCTTGAATGTGTGTGTGTGTTCAAACGGTAAATGCAATCTTACAGCTCCTCCCTTAATTTTATTTTTAGGCTTGTTCCAAGGAGCTACTGCAGAACAATGTCTGGAAAGCCAGACTGAATTTAAGTGGTTTTTGGTTGGCCTCTGAAATCATTGCTCACTCCAAGGAACACAGCACAGTGAGGCATTTTAGGTTCAAGGTCAACTATTGTTTCCTTCTATTGATATAGTTATATGGGAAACATGTTTCAAGATCCAGATTGCTATCTTGGCTCCCAAAGGTCTGTTGTTTTCTGGGCCTTTTCTCATAACAGGAGAAGTGAAAAGAAAAGAAAGTACCCCTCAGCTGTTCTCCGGCAACTAACAGGAACAAGCATATGGAATGGCTTGTCACAATAATACATTGTGAAAGAGGTTATTGAGGCCCCAGGTCTATTAGGTTGACATTCTCCACCCACCAGGCCAAAATGCTATTTTTTCTTCTCTGCTTCCTAAGGAAACATATTTAACAAAAACAGAATTGTTCGAGTCAAAGAGATCTAGAAACATATAGAATGCTTTCATATGCAAATCTAGTACAACTGCGAAAGCTATGCTCAGGACTCTGCTGCAACCAGAGCTAGAAATCTTTCTTCAGTGTAAAAGAAATAAGGCAAAGAAACAATAACAACACAAAACAAAAAACCCCACCCATTGAAGCACAGATATTGTTCCAAACAAAAGCAAATCTCTCTCTTCCACCCTCCACTTTGTGATTATCAATCTTATGGATGTTTTATATTATATGATTGTCTCAAAACTCAGCAGGGAGGGGGGAAATGTAGAGAGCTAGACTCTGATTGCCAGAAGAAGAAAATAACAGCAAATGGAAGAAATGCTTCCCAACAGTGGAGAATGGGCCAGTCAAACGAAGTATACAAACTTATTCATTCAAAAATAATTCCATAGATGGATAAGCATTTAATTTTCTAAATTCACAATAAAGCAGCATTTTTCTTGTAGAAACTGGAATGAGTTTTTGTATTTATCTATTTACATACAGCTTGTACAGTCACGCAGCGAGCATCGTAGTCAGTCAGGAAAGCTAGGGGGAAGTTATTACTAAGGGTCTTTTTTGTTGCAAGTGATTTTTGTAGTGCAGGCAGCATCAGCATTGTTAAGAATAAATTGTTCAATGCCCCTTCCTTGGCCAGTACTCCTGCTCACATTGATGCAAGATCCGTTATCTAGTGTTCGCAGATAAAATGTGGTTCAGAAGCACAGTCTCTCTTGGATGTTGTATTGACTCTCCACTTTCTATTAAAAATAGAGGTCATTTCCCTCCCCCCCCCCCCACAGTAAGGAAAGGAAATAGCTCTCCCTGAACAAAGCAGGGGACCACCTGTCTAGCAGCAAAATAGGAGCTTGTGGCTACAGGGAGCTTCTGACAAGATGTGTTTTATAACTCTGACCCTGTTGGTGGTTCACAAGAGAAGGGCAAACAAACAGAACCCTACGTTAAAAATAAGGAAATAGATCAACAGTGTCCATCGTTTAAAAGACAGAAACAAGGCCTCTGTTAGGCTTGACTTAAACTGTAGACGTTAATGCCATTCCTGTTCAACCTTTGATAAATATTAACTATATGGTTCTTTTACAAATGATTCTATCTATTTAGAACATTCACTAACCCTTTTCAGTGCAACAAAAGATCTCCCGATCTTTCTTATGGCTTTTAAAATGAAACCAAACACCTCCTAAGTCTGATAAAAGATAGGTGCTTTTCAGTTCCACAAAATAAAAAATGAGAGAAAATATGGCAGAGAAAGGTGATTAAGAGGGTCTTTAGAGCCACATTACGCATTCAGTAAAATATCATGAGAAACACTTTCGTGCACAGTTACAGGTAGGTAGCTGCGTTGGTCTGCCGTAGTCGAAACAAAATAAAAAAATTCCTTCCAGTAGCACCTTAGAGACCAACTAAGTTTGTTATTGGTATGAGCTTTCATGTGCATGCACACTTCTTTAGATACACATTTCTGCACAGTTCCGCTTCAGACTGCAGGTGGCAAATCACATTTGTTCCCTAACTACCATAAAAGAACTGGCATGTAGAATGCTATCACCATCAGGAAGACATGTTTTAACATATTCCTTTCCCTGATGTTTTGATTTTCTACATGGAGGTATTTCTCTGATGTTTGTTGAATGGGAGATGCATTAGTCTGTAGCCCTGCGGTTTTGAAAGGTATTTATCATGTGTTTTTGCCAAAAGTATAGATCCACCTCAAACCAGTCAGTTTTATAGGAAATGGTTCAGAACACATGGCAATATCCATTTTTGTCTACTAGAAGCTTTGTTATATTCAAGTTAATAAGGACAGAAACTTTTTCTGGGTTGTGAACAGACTAAGGCACAACACATATGATTGAAATGTGACCGTCTAAATAGTAATGTGAGCAGCAATGTGCTGTGTGGATGCTCATCACCCAGCTGATGACAAAACTCATTCACTTCTTCACATTCTCTCTCTCTCTCACACACACACAGAGGAATATACAAACATGTTCCAAGGTTGCGAAGAATGCAGTTTAGCAGCGGCAGGGGGGGATTAAACAGAAAAAGAAAGTGTTCTAATTTATGGTCTATACCACCACTTCATGGAAAAAAGCAAAAGAATCTCCCCTGGAGTACAAAAAACACAGAGCTCAGTGAATACAAGGCAGATTCTTACATGACCTCAAATAACATGATCAAAACCAACTTCAGTTTCTGGTCTAAGATTTGACATGTATAGTTGGCAGAATAGCTTAATCTTGGTTTGTTATAAAATTAAGAATACTATTGTTGGCATTTGATGGTTGGGGGGGGGACTACTCTGAAAGCTGTTTTTGAAAGGAAAAGCAAAGAAAAGGCAAACCCTGAAAGCATCAGTCTGAAACGAATAAACAAACCTCATTTAAAAATAGAAATTCATTTATATACCTGGATGGATTCAGTCTCACTGATACCGCAAGGAGGAGAGTGAACCACTTCTCATACCTATAAAAATGTCTTTCAGATACAGATTAAAATTATGTCAGGCAGTTTGAAATTTTACAGGAAGCCATAATGAGAAGTAGAAAGCAAACCAGATTTTAGTGATTGGAAACAGAGTTTCAATCTGAAGGATCTCTGTAAGCCTGCAGCACTGAAAGTGTACGTATTCCACTGTTACAGCTTCAGCCACCTCAGCCCCACACCCTCTCCTTTTAAAAAAGAAATTTGCCATTGGCTTTGAAAACTCTAAGCAGTGAAATGGCTCGCTGTGAGGGGCTGAGCACATGAGGGCTACGCATTTTCTATCTAGTCCATTGTCTAGGTGATGTGTAGCTGCTCCCTCAAGACAACGGCAAGGGGAGGGGTCACTCAGTGGTAAGAAAACACCTGCATGCATACAACAGCATGTGTGGCCAGGAATCTTGGTTTTTTGGGCAAGGTTCTTGAGCATAGCTATTGTTGAATATACATTAGGGTGGCCACATGTCCTGCTTTCCAGTCCTCTGTTCAAAGAAATCGCCAGTTGGAAGGACAGGACAGTCCAAATCTGGTTCAAAGAGAAAATACCCTAA